CTGCTCAGTTCTGCAGTCCTTGGTCAAATAAGCTCAGTCATCAACAAATAAGTCAAATGGGGGCTCCCAAATCAAAGCTAATTTTCAGAATTTAAGTGTTTCATTTCTATAAGAAGACTGTGTGTGAGTAATACTGTTGGCTGATATTTAGAATAGTGTTTTGAAGAGTCACTTGATAATGTCATCTAAATCATTTACTGAGTGGAAAATCTGATGGAGATCAAATCGATGCCCTTGGAAAACAGAGGAGAGGAACATCTGGAGTGCAGTTTGTAATCCCAGAAGTACCACTGTGTATCTAATGCTGCAGTTGAGGATTAGTGAAGGTATAAGCAAGAGGAGAATCAGACCTGTACTAGTCAGCAGATATGATGTCTGTAAAGAAACTCAGCCTGAAATATTAAATTGCCTGATGCAGATGTACATACAGCATAGAAACCTTGCAAGAAGGGGTTGATGTGAAACGCTGAGAAGGCTTGAAGCTTAGCTTTGCATTAAAGAAAGAAAACCAAGAAGACTTTGTACCCTCCTTCACTCTTGTCACACCTTGCCTGTGGTGCATTTGCAGTGAGTGTTCTGGCTTCTCCCTGTAGGCAGCATTGTCGTGGGCTGCCAAACTGCTGCAGTACACTAATACCTTTTGGTAGCTGCATGGTTACCCCTGTGCAGCATTGCAACTGGCTCACAGTGCCAAAAACCTGTTTGCAATTAATGCCCATTTGACACGCATCAGGAGTAGAGGAATTCTCACATAAATGTACTATACCTTAACAGAGTCCTCTTCAAAATGCAGTGTTCTTTCTCTGTGTGTATAAACAGCTTGCTGGGCAAAAAGTTTTACTTTCTGACATATATTGCAGAAATCATTCATTAATACTGACACAATAAAGCAACTGCATACACTATTTATTATTCCATTTTGAATTTTGTGACTGCCAGAACATCATAAAGCAGATTTGAAGGAGGTAAGCTGGTTAACATATAAAATGTGACAAAAAGGTATTGTGTGATGGAATAGCAACTTGTAAATCCCGAAGGCCATTCTTTTGTATTGCTTTAGAAAATACATGGTGCGAAGGTGTTTCATTCTTCCTCCAGTCTCTTGGCAACTTGAAATGAAGGATGTGCCAGGCAGTATGGCCTGAAAAATGCTAACGGGAGAAAACAGATGCCAGGTTTTCGGACCACATGGAGTCCTGAGCTCCCATAAAAAGGCACACGTTTGCTGCTATTCTGAGCAATACACAGCAAACTAAATAAGCGTATGTCCATTTTTACCTCAAAATGTTGTTAACTAGTTGTAGTGAAGTAATTTATTGTCTGTGGAGTATTTATTTTTCATTGTGTTGCAGTCTTACACAAATCATGCTTGTCTTGCAACTTCAGTATCCAAAACTGTTAGTCTGTATATATATTTTAGGTACATCTGCATTCATATGTACAGTGAGAGAGGCACACACTGCCAAATGCTATTAGAAAGAACTTGTTGAATGAAATTTAGTATATTTCAAGTACTCAAACTGTTGGAATTGGCCTTGACTCAGAGTTTTTTAAGTCTCTTGAGATGTTCAGATTTCTCGGTTGTAATATTAAACCAGCATTATGTATGTATGTATTTTCAGATTGATTTCTTTTACAACTGGAGTGAGTTTTACTTGCAAACTACAAAGTGCATGTGTATAGTTTGGGTAACAGGTAACCAAAAATCAGTCTATTTCCAATTATGCTGGTTGGGTTGGTCCCTGGTGTTCTGTTTTCAAAAGCAGAGTTCACTGCAGATACTCAATTATGAATATCCAGGCATCAGAGGAACGTGTAGCCTCTTCTTTTTTTGGCTTAATTTGCTTCCAAAAACCCAATCAAACAAGAAAACAAGCTCTTGTATTTGGGGGTGGGGGGGGGAATACCTATTGTATCCAAAGCTACTTTCCCCATGTAGAGAGATTTCAGTGCCTGTGCAAGGAAAAAGCAGTTAGGATGAAACAACATGGAATTGAGAAAGGGTAGGTGAAAACCAAGACAAGTTTTGTCCTTCGGGGTTTTCTGTTTGTTTTGTTGTGGGGATACAACAGACAACTATTAGCAGGATCATAGCCTCAGATTGATATGCCTCAGTAACCAAGGTGTAAATCTATTTTAAAATGGAAAGTTTCCTTGGTCAGAAATGCTGCTAAAGTACTTCATAGTTGTGGAGTTGTTTTGTTGCTGTGGGTGTAATCCCCCCCCGTCCCCCCCCCGTCCCCCATCTTAGAAGGATAACTTAAGAAGTACTGGAAACAACTTGATTTGGGAAGGATGTTTACAGGACAGGGAAGGAGAACAGCATTTGTCATAAAAGAAATTAGTATAGGCCAGATAAGGGTCTTCCTTAGCTGTGTGGTGTGCTTTTCTGCAGAAGCGTGTTTAATTCCAATGTGAATTTAGTCCGGAGCTTTGGAAATGCCAAACCTATTTAAGCCCAAACCAGAAAGCAACAGGGAATCATAATGACTCATAAGGCATGGGATACCAGTATTGAAATAGAAATGGGTTCTTCCTATTGCTCTGTTTCAAGCAGTAATTCTGCAACATCCAGGACTGCTTTATGAAGCATTATCCTTTACTTTAATAAGGAGATAATCAAAATCAAGTTAGCTGGGCTTGAGAAAACAAATGGTGTTTCTCCTGGCTGGCTGGGGGTCATAAACTTGTTTTTGACAAGGGTTTAGAGAAAGCTCTGGCTGGATGAGGTCATATAACAGAAGCTGGGCTTTCTGACCCCAAATATATATCTGATGTGATGATGCGACACTTCAGGAGCTGTCAGAAGAAAATCTCTTGGGTTATTTTTGTTACAGCTTTGACAGCAACTAGTGTCTTGAGGCACTAGGAAAGAAAAAGTGAGCCTGACAGAACAGGAATGAATTGCCTCCACGATGGAGAGGAGCCGCTCTGTGTGAGGAGGTAATACACAGACTGCAGGAGGGGGAAGATAAATAAGAATGTATATGAGGACAATATCTTTTCTGTATTGAGTGTCTGAGGGCATTAGTCTTCCTTATACTTTTTCCCCTTGCCTCATACTTTCTCCCTGTCATGAAGTGTCCTTTTTTAGGATTGTGGTTTTGTTGTTTTGGTAGTTTTTATTACCTATTTACTCATTGCGCTATGTCTTTCTCACCATTTTGCATATAAACCCTATATTGAAACACCTTTCAACCCTACATCTCTTGATGCCCCTGAGTTGTATTTTTTTTAATGGATGGCATGGATATAAATCCATCATTTATGCAACCCACTGGAGGCCTTGGAAAGCCTAAGGTTGCTGTGTCTGCTCTAAACCCCCCCGGAAGTTGGGAAGCAATATCAAATGTGTAGTGCTTGACTTTCAAGGATCTCTGATCACCCTTTATTTGTGGGCTTGGATTTCAGTGCCTTGGATTGAAGGCGCCTTTTGTGATACAGCTTGCTTTTTTAGCTCTGTAGGTGATGCCTAGAAAAACACAAAATAGTGGTGATATTGATGTCTGATATTTTGAAGGTAAGAGGTTGTTAGCTGGGAGGCATGTGTCTAGGAAGGTACTGTTCAAGTAACTAACAAGGAATACGGTTAAAATAATTTCCATGCTTTTGGGTGCATTTGTGGTAGCTTTGATTTGCCTGTTAGCTTGTTCTTCACCGTGCCTTCTGCTTTGACACTCCTAAAATTTAAAAACTGCAATTTAGCTGTGACTCCTGAATTAGATTATTTCATTGCTTTGTGATTCAGTCAGAACATAAGAAAAGGGAGGTAAGACTTTTTTAGATTAAAAACATTCAAACAGGGGCTTATATTTGAAAGACAGTTTATCTACAGAACTAGAAAACCTTGAGAGGTGAAAGGCAAATGTGAAATATGGGAGAAAAGAAAGGTATAATCCTATGTAGGTCAGGGATAGCTTGGGGGCGAGGGGGGGGATGAGGAAAAAAAATGCCTTCTATTATGCAGATCTTTGTAGTGCAATGTCTGAAAAGGAACTTGTTCAAGACTCCTTAAAATATTTTGCTGGCAATAGATTTCATAAAAAATGTGAGCAGAAAATGGACTTAGAGGTTTATTTTTGCTGTTGTGTAGGGGAACACAAGTCTCAGTTGTAAATCAGGACCAGCTACTTCTCATTGCTACAGCTGAGATTCTGGTTTCTTGCAGCTGAATTCAACGTGGAAAAAATATCTTGACTGTTTATGCTGTTCAGGAAAAGAATGATCTATGTTAGAACATGGAGGCAGAGCAGAATGAGTACATGTCTGCATGCTCTCAGTAGTGGCTCCATCAGGAGCATTTGGCCTGCCTTGGATCTGGAGATCAGGGTAATTAAGTAAAACCTCTGAAGAAAATAAACCCATTAAACTCGAAGTAGAAGAATAACTTTCTGACGCCTAAGTGAAAAACAGATACATACCTTATGGGGAAGCTAGCCAGTGTATTACAAGGGCAGCAGCTTGCACAAGTTGAAAGTCAAAAGTGGTTCCTCTCTGGAGTTCAGGGGGTTTCCTCTGACATCCCTCCACAGGCTAGAAATCATTCAGGCAGTAAATGTACAGAAGAAACAGACTTAACATATTCTGAAGTCTTTTGGGCCCCTCTTCTCTCTGTCAGGAATCTTTGTTCTGTATTTTTTTTTTTTATAAGGAGATTATTGTTTCGCATTAATACTAGTTCAGATGAGTTGGGGATAAACGCACATCATTAGGAGTGACTGACTTCACTCAGATACCATTGCACTGATTGTGGCGTAGTTGTTGTTATCTGAAAATTACCTTCACTTGTATAACTGTGTTCATCAAAGTCATGGCTTATAAATTAATACCTTATTAAAAGGCCTAGAGAACAGATTAGTCCCCTCCCCTCAGTCAAATGGCCACAATAAACCACAGTTGGTGTTATTTGGACCATTGAAGATTTTTGTACCTTTTTGTCTTTTCCCTTTCTGGTTCTGTTTTCCTTGTCTTTTTCTGTTTGAACTCTGTCAACGCTGAAGAAAAAGAACATCTCAATCTGAACAGCCAAAGCTGTGGAAGGGCATTGAAGCAAGACCACATCACCTATGAACTGGCAGTGAGGGATGTATACTGCATACTTAATAGTGCCTGCAGATCATCAGCTTGATCACCTCCATGGCAAGTGCTGTACAAACATGTTATAAAAGAAGACAGTCCCATCCCCACAGAAGGTACAACAGAGTCTCTCCTGTCTAGCTTCTGCTCACTTTTCTGTGCCTACTCTAATTATGATTTTCCTGTTCCTATTCCCTGCTGTCTTTTCACTCTTCTTCAGTCTCTCTACAGTGAAAAGGAAAACATCCTTTCAGACATTTTAGAAGTATCTCTTGCTCCATTTTAAGTGCCTCAGTATGGAGCTTGAATGTTTTGTTCAGATTTCACTACGGCAGACCTCAAGCTGGGGAGGGGGAAAGTGTTTGTGTGGGATCTGGTACAGTTTGAGCAGTTGGCCTTGGTTTGTGGCAGGGCTGTGCCGCACAGTATTTGTGTCATCCTCTTAAATACAAGTAAAGGAGGAGTGTACAAGTGTATAATGAGCTAAAAGGTCAAAGGATTCAAGCAGCAGTTTACAGGGGGGGGGGCACAGGGAAGGGGGCTGCATGTAGGGTACACCTAAGCTGCGATTTCAATCATACTATGGTGATTGTAAGTAAAAATGTACAGGCACTGTCTGTAGCTAGTGCAGGATGAAGTTGCTGCAGCAATGAGAGCTACCCCAAATTCTTTCCTCAGAAAAGACAGTATTGATGTAAAGATGAGTGCTTTTATGAATGAATCCACTTTTGCCCTGCTTAAGAATTGCACTGGAACAACTTTTGTATTAAAAAACAAATACCAAACACACAAAAATACCCACTACGTTTGCAATTTGTGAAAAAGAGTGAAGGGACAAATGTACTCAGTACCTCAGCAGGGAGATTTTCCAGGATAAGAGAATACACATGGATATTTTCAGTGGTAAGAAGTTCTAATCAATTTGCTAATTCTGGAGCATACAACCAAAGCTTCCAGCTTTCAGGAAGAGCTGGAGGCTCAGCTCTTGGCTTGCAAATGCTTTTCTATTGAGATTATTGGGGAAAAAATATAAAAGTATTTTAAAGATTTGAGCCTTTACTGGTTTGCAGTCTTCATGCTGAATTCTGGGAACTACATTAAAAACATTGTGAGCATTGCTGATGGCCAGAAACATTGCAAGCTAACGTGAGAGAGAACAAATGCAGTATATGGCCTGCCATGGTCAATTTCTATGGTCAAGAGCAGGACATGCTTACTATGGACTATGGCAGCATCCTTTGAAACAAAGAACGAATTAATAATTTCAGTCAAAGGTTTTGACTGGATTAAATGAACTGGAAACCTCTGACATCCCTGAAAGATGTTGGTAGGGTAGTGGTGCATCTATATGGGAAAACAACCTGACTGACGTGTCAAGGGTGTTGTATGTTACCTATTGGTCTGTTCTAGGTAAAATGAAATTACCTTGAAATATCGTTCTGAATATCAGATTTTGAAAAGCTGTCAGAATTAAAACGCTTCTAATTCTTCCATGTGCAACTAGAAATTGGATCCAAGGACTTATTAAAACAATTCACATCCTGTGTTGCCAAGTGAGAGCTGAAAATAAGTTTAGGAAGTGATTCTTACCTGCCCTTAGCTAACAGGAAGTGGACTGTGGCTCAGAATCTGCTGTCCCAAACTGGGTATTGCAATTTTTGTGCCAGGAAAAAACGGTGTTTGGAAGGCAGCATCTTTCACCTATAAAGGATGAGATCCCTGCCTTGACTGTATAGAAATGAAACCTTGAGGAAAAGTTCCAGTTAAAAGTCTTACTGGCTTTGGGAAGAACACCCAAGTAAAGCTTATAGTACTGGTTTAAACCTTTTAAAATCAGATTGAGCCAGCTACTTCAGGGTATATTTTGAAGAATGATGTTACTTTGGCAAAGGAATGAACAAAATTTACTTAGGTTAGCAGTAAGTCATCTCTGTCTGTAATATTCCCTTTTATTAAGAACCGTGGAGTTGACTTGCTCAAGTCTTCTTCCTTCCAGTTCTCATCTACAGTCAGAAACCAAAGGGAGAATGTGCCAGTTGATGCTTCTGAAGATGAGATAGGAAAAAATGATTTTGATGTGAAGACTGAAGCACATCTAGACTTGAAGGTAACAGCAATTCTTCTGCTATTAGGGGAGCAACTTGTCTCAGGGCCTTAATTCTGTAGTGTTTCTTGCTCTGTACTATCAGGGGGGAATAGCAGAGTCCTTTATAGCACACAGTTGTGACTGCAACTCTTTCTCTAGGGGGAACTGTACTCTGACTTTTCTGACAATGCAAAGATAAAGTAGCAGAGGGCAAGCTTCACTGTTTCACTATAATATACTGTTTTATTTAGTTGATGGGATACTTTCCAGTAAGGAAAAAACTTGCCTAGGTGTTTAAACACTACTGTCACTTGCAGAAGATGTAATATGCAGGCTGGAAAATGGGATATGGCTTGGAACCTAATAGAATAATGTATACAGCCAGGAGTCATTTCTCTTTTTGTGTGTATGTATGGAAGTTGATATTTTATTAATTGTGTTGAAAGCTAAAGTTTTTGCAGTCTTCTCTGAAGTAAGAAACATGGCCTTAAGCTAAATCGAGAGATATTTTGAATATTTTGGCAGTACATTTCTTATGCAACAGCTAGATGCAGTTAATTGGCAAACACATGCTGCAGTAGCAAGCAAATTTGTAATCCCTCTCATGCTTGGAGTTTGAACTGCTGCTGTAAAGCAGGCCCCAAAGCACATAATCACAGAGTACATCCTCGCTGACTTGAAAGCATCCTTTTTTGTACTACTTTCACCTAGGCGTAGCTGTGCTTTCAGGAGTAGAAGAATCTGTTTTGTACATGTAGGCTGTGCTTTGTCTCATTTAGAGTTTTGTATCCTATTTTTGGGAGAGAGTACGGGGTAAAACTTGAGGAGTCTGTGCAGTAGCTTTCTTGGAAAATAGAAGTATGAAAGGATCTACTGACTCCAACTTGCTTTCAGGGCATCACTTGAAATGCTGAATCATCACCCAGGCAACAGTTAAGTAGCTATTTTGTGAAGCCAATTAGGTACCCAATACTCCTCAGTGACAGACTAGCAGAATAACTGCTTTATACATGTCAGCTGCAAGTTTTATTATAAGTCTATGCTAATGATCTGTTGACTGATCTTTGCAAGAAAGTGATCCATGAATAATACTTTATTTCCACTGATTGCAAGGAAGAGATCTCATCATGACTTGGGAAATGCTCAGCTGCTTTTACTGTCAAGCTTTATGATTAGAGCACAAGCTACATAGCTAGAGAATGGCTTTTTTTTTCTCCAAGTGTCAGAGTGGGAAATTCTGGAGATGTTTTCTCGTAGAGAACACCAGCTTCAGCAGAGAAAGAAAATAATGCTGATCTTGAAACACCAGAAGGATGCTCTTGAGGAGTATCATGAAATGAGTGCTTTAGGGTCACTTCAGGAGATTTGCACCTAGAGATCTGTACCCTCTTCCATTGAAAGCCAGCTTGCTCAAGTATTTCCCATGATAAATGATTCCCTTTTGTCTTCCTAGTCCTGTTCCATAGGACAGATAGGGTATTGTAATAGTTGAGCTAAAACTCTTTTGTAGCACAATGGCAGCCTATTCACATCGAATTGCTGTGGGTTTGGATGCCCTTTTTCTTGGCAAAGTCACCTTTGGAAAGCAGGTACTTTCATATTTTGCTTCAAAGTGATTTCCACAGAACATTTTCTGTGTCTAGTGGCAAGTGACAAGTCTGTTAAATTTGTTATCCAAATTGACTTCATTCACACAAATATTTACTGTTTGTCTTAAATGTCACTTAAAATGCTGTATTTTCAGGCTTAGATTTTGATTTTACCTCATGTTGATTCTCTGCCTTACGTTCTCCAAACTGATACTTTTTAATATCTAAAATGTATATCTACTTAAATATTCTTATTTATATCGTTGTAAAAAATAATGGCAGATGGATCCCTCTTGGTGTTTGCAAACAACAATAATGTTCAATGACGAATGTGCAACATTGTCATCCAAAATTGCTGTTTATGGTGAAATGCAGCCTTTAATAAGAACTTACTGGGTACACTGAATGGTATCCTGGATTCCTGCAAAATGCTTCAATAAACTTGTCACGCAGATTTCTTCTCTCTCCTGGAAAAGACAACTTAATGACTCCTCTATGTTTACCTCCTCTTTGGATTTATCAGTGAAGGCATGCATGTGTGTATACACACTAGAAGGCTTTTATGAATTGTGCAGTTATTGTTATTTCTCCTCATACACAGAGTAAAAGGTTCCTTTCAGCCTGACTGGGTTTTAATTCTCTTTGAGAGTATAACAGAACAGAAAAGCATCAGTCAGACCCTGAGAGAGAGCATGTTGTGGGTGTCCTCTGCATAATCTGTGTGGCTGTGGGTGGCACAGCCTAGCCTTAGTTAACAGTTAGAGCAGCCTGATTTGTCTCCCGTAACCTTGCTTTTAATGTCTGAGGGTTTTATCAACTGTAAACTCCTCAGGTTAGAGTTTTCCTTGCTGTGCTATGTGCCTGTGGCTGCTTTTTACTTTGTAAAAGCTTCAGACCAACTTGCGCAGCTATTTGTAAGAGGATGATTAGGGGGAAGGAAATACCATGTTTACCTCAAAAGAATGAATCTGAAAATATTTTTAAGAACCACCAACAGTGTTTTCTCCTCTCAACCCACCAAACCCCATGTTTTAGTGCCAGCACTTGAGGTGGTGAATTGTTACCCACAGATGTTCTCTTTGTTCCTGTGAACTTGCTTTTAGCTGTGTTAAAAGCCTCTGAAAAAGGCTTTGAGTATGATCAACAGTCTTTTTCAGCAGGGCACCATATTTCTTCAGAGATGATCTGCCCTTGTTACACCCTGGCCCACTTAATAGTGTTTGCCCTTATCATATTGCCCCAAACTGTTGGCTCCTGTGTGACTATGTGTGATCTGGGTGTGAGCCCTGGTGACTGAAAGGGATTTTCTCCCAGAACTGTGCCTGCATTGAGGTTGAAGCAGCTTTGGGAACTGTGGGCCAAGATGTCACCTCTCCCATGCTTTCTGCCCTTATCCCTAAGGAGGAACAGATTAAACTGAGATACAAAGGAGGCATAAGCT